TATGGAAACAAATGATAATGAGTACACAAGTGTCCATAATCTATGGGACACAGCAAAAGCAGTCATAAGAGGGAAATTCATAGCAATTAGTGCACATAAGAAAAGGATGGAAAGATGTTTAATAGATAACTTATCATCATACTTCAGAGAATTGGAAAAACAACAACAAACAAACCCCCAAAATGCCAGGCGAAAAGAAATAATAAAGGTTCGAGCAGAAATAAATGAAATAGAAGATAAACAAACCATACAGAAAATAAATGAAAGCAAAAGATTAACAAGATCGACACACCATTGGCTAGACTGATCAAGAAGAAGAAAGAAAAAACCAGATTAATCAAATATATGATGAAACAGGCAATATTACAACAGACATAGCAGAAATACAAAATATCATTAGAGGATACTACGAGCGACTATATGCCAACAAACAAAATAACTTGGAGGAGATGGACAAATTCCTGGATGCATATAATCTACCAAGATTGGATCAGGAGGACATAGAGAACCTGAATAGACCCATAACAAGCCATGTCTTTCTCTGTCTCTCTCCAGCAAGTACATGTGCCCCAAAGCAAAAGTCTAAAATCCAAACTAAAAAAACCTTAATTCATTGAACAAATATTTATTGAGAGTCTCTTATATATCATAGGCATAGTGTGAAGTAAGTACATATACTACAATGTATGTTACATAATTATGATACAGAATACGAAATAACAAATAAAAAACATTTTTATGTTATTTTAATAATTTCACTCAAAACAAGACACATCAGTTTTTCCTTTATAAAAATACAATATGAAAAACAATGCAATTTTATTTCATCTAAGAGTAATATGAAATAATACTACACCTCATTTGGATGTGGGAACTACAATCACATGCACAAATACAGGCAGGGGACACACTCCACATGGTTGATGTGGTGTTTGGATGTCTCTCTCTTGGAAACACATCATGTCATGGCCACATGGTGCACAACTCCAATAATCACCACTATTAGAGTCACCTTTACACAAAAATGAGTCTAAGAAAAAGGAGACTCTACTCCCTTAGAGGGAGCACCTAGTATCACTGATCTTCTTACCAATTAAAATATCACTGACTGAATAAAATTATTTTACCAAAACTTCTGAAAACCTACTGGGGACAACTTATGGGACCAGCAGAGGTCCTGAAAATTAGGATAGTAGTTTGACCTAGATTCATACCTTTCATTCTTCTTTATAATGGGTATCAAAAGCCTCATTCCATGTTAAGAGAAATTTTCTTCAACAGAGGACTGCCAATCACTCAGAGATCCTGGACTTGGATATGGGTGTAATAACTTCAACTCTGCACTTGCTCTCTTTTGGGAAGAGACTATGTTTGTTGTAAATGAGATAGCTGTATTGTTTCTTTTCCTTTCTTTCAAATTTTGCCACTGAGAGAGAGAGAGAGAAAACGTGAGAAATCACCCCTCAAAGAGATGATCACACCACAATCTCTTCTCCTCCATTCTTCTCTGGATCCTGGGCAAAACATATACACATACCCAGTGTGATTTTTCAAGTCATCAGGTCTGGTATTTGAATCGTGGTGGGCTATGGGAGAATCTAGTGCCTTCATCACCATGCCACCTGATGGTCCATCTTATGTTTATTTTAAGCAAATAGTTTTTAAAATTACGAAGCCTTTTAATTACCAAAGTATATAAGAGGTAATTGTATGAAGAATACTAGACAGCTGTGTAGCCACTTCTAAACTGTTAAGAATAAAAGTTAAAGATTTTGTTGAAGCTATTTCCTTCCCTCCTATTTCCTTCCTAAATGAAATTGTCATTCCGATCATTCTATGTATCATTCACCTTCATTTTTTTCTAGCACATATACATCTATTCATAATATGCTGTCCCTGTTTCTTTTCTTTAATTGCTTGAGGGCATATGCACTTGCCAGAAACAGACAGGGAGAAAGCACTTCATCCTCCCTGCAGAGGCATGATCATGCTTCAACCTGCCCATCTCTCCATTCTGTCAGGATCTGAGGCACACATGTACAGTGACCCAGGTGTTTCTCAAGCTGTCAGGTCCAGAACTTGATTGGTGTAGGTCGCATGGGATTCTGCTGCTTTAACCACTAGGTGTGGTTTGGACAATTGTGTTTTTGACACCAATACAAATGGCATCACACTTTACCTATTCATCTACTATCTGTTGTACAGTGTATTTTTCAGGCTTGTCCATATTGTTATATACTGTTACTTTTTTAGTTCTACTTCACTGTCGTTCAGAGATGGCACAAATATTTCCTTAAGTCCATCCTCCTGAGAGACCACTCGCTCCCATGCCCTGGAATGGTGAAGGGCAGCCAAGGGGCCAGTGTTTTGGTGGTACTGGAGATGAGAAAGGAGCGTAGATGTGGAGGCCACGGCCTCGGTCCACATGGAGTGAAGGCGATCTGAGAGGAAAGCGAAGGATCTTGGCGGCTTTTTCTGCCTGGAATTCCCGTTTGAGAATTTTAAAATTGGACTTGACCTTCCAGGCTGGTATGAAGATATATTAAAAGTAAGAGGATAGAACATATTTTCTTTACTCGTTAACTTTACATCTTTTAAATATTCAGATGTAAGTATGTGGCCTCTACTTGCACTGTTGGAGTAGGAATTTACTGGGACGTGGCTCTCCTACGTCCTCCTTTGTGTGAATTTCCATCTCCCCTTCTCCATTAGTTCCGACTCTCAATTCTAACTTTGTTAAGTTCGACGCCAAGTTGGAATGAAGACGCTACCTTGCCGCGGAAAGGCGACGCGCGAGCCCCTCTGGTCTCCGACTGGGCGGAGGGCGGGGCTTCCCCACAGGCTCCGCCCACCCCGCCCGGCCCGGGCCCCGCGGCATCCTGGGACATGTAGTCTTTGCCGGACAGCGGCCTCCACCGAGTCTCCTCCCCCAGGCGTCCGACGCTGCCTTTCGCCCTCGGGACGTCGTAACGTTGCATTCCTCCAGTCCCTTGCCTCCTCCCTCTTTCTTCCCCTCGGGAGAAGCTCAGTCCCGGACTTCGGCAGGCCTTTTACGACATTGGATCTCAGTCGGTCTCGGCGCCGGGTCCACTTTTCGGCAAAGTGACGTGGACGTCAACAGCAATGGCGGAAGGAGAAGAGGTGCTGCCACTGCCGACGTCGAGCGGGGACGGCTGGTGAGTGAAAGCCCAGGGCTAATTCCCCACAGGTCTTTTATTTTCCCTTCTCACTACCCTGCCAGTCCCTAAGGCACCTGTTAGCGCCGGCAAGGAACGGAAAGACCCATCCTCGGCGAAATCCAGCATCCTGCCCCGCCCCCTCTGCCTGCCGGATCTCTCCCTGCCCGGTCCCTCCCTGCCCGGTCCGGTCTAAAGGGTTGGGCTGCGCTCAGAGGGGCAGGGCTGTCATCCAGGTGCTGGGCCTCAGTCCACCGTCTTCCGGTTTCCGAAATGGGCTGACTTCAGGGACGGAGTTGGCCGGAGTCCCTTGCCGGAGGAGTTGGAGTAGGCTGGTTAAGAAAGAAGTTTCTTGGTTACAGATCTGAGGCACTGGACTACCATTCGAAGGAAAGATCTGAAATTACTACAGCGACCTTTGTCTGAAAGTTCAGAGGTTGACAAATACACCCAGAGTCTCTTCCACATAGTCGATATATTTTTTGATCATGGTTTCTCTCTGTTTATGTCCCAGCGGTTTCCATCATTCGTCTCTTTCACATAAGTCGCCTTTTTCTTCCTGTCACTTTTCTCACAGCTCGATTTCATAGCTTTGGATGCAGTATAGAACTTTGCTTTTGCTACTCCCAAGCCTTTGCCTGCTTACCTGATTTATGCTTAGGGTTGTGGGGAGGACTGTCAATACCTTTTTTTTTTTTTTTTTTTTTTTTAAGATTTTTGCTATAGGTCGTGTGCACTCGCCAGAGAGACAGAAACAGAAAATTAAAAATCAAACCCCCCGGGAGGATGGCCATGCCAAACACCCAGCGTGAGTTTTAAGCCACTGGGTCCAGGACTTGAACGGCTGTTGAGTATGTGGGAGTCCAGTGATGTAACCATTATGCCATCTGCTGGTACCGCCCACCCCCCGTTAATTTTTTGCTTGATCTTACACAGTATGAGTACTCTTTGGGAAAGGCTGCTACTTTTTGAAATAGTTGTTCTCCACAGTAGCATTTTCTTAAAAATGAAGCTTTAGAGGCATGTTTAATTTTTCAATTGATCTAAATATATTGATCATATTTTGTTAGCTAGTTTGAGATTGACTTCTTCATATTATACTGTACAGCTCACCAGGTCTCTGTTTACCTACAAATAATACAGGGTGTATTGTAGACATTGACTTTAACCTATGAAGGAAAAAAAATGGAAATTATTGAAAGGGATAGGTAATTGATAACTGTGAAATTCAGCTCTCAGCAGACATCTAACATTACCTTAGTGGTTCATGGAAATAGTGGTGTTTGAATTAGGCCTTGAAGAATGAGTAGGATTTAGAGCAGTGCTATCTAGTAGAAGTATGATGTGAGCTATATATATAACTTAAAATGTAGTAATAGCACATTAAAGACTAAACAGAAATAGAAAAAATTAATTTTAATCTACTTTATTTAACCTACTGTATCTAACATTATTGGATATGTATTATTGTATATATTATTTCAACATGTAATAATTGTTAAAAAAAATTATGCACCCTTTTGTACCAATTCTTCAAAATCCAATGCACATTTTACATTTACCCTCCATCTCAGTTTGGACTATATTTCAAATGTTGACTATCCACACATGGCTAGTAGCAGCATGTTGGATAATGCAGTGTCAGACTAAGAGGTGGAATAGACCTCTAAATGGGCTAACAGCATAAGTAGTGGCATAGATTAGAAAACAAAAAAAATTTTTTTGAAGAATAATATCTAGAACTACCTGGCTAAAGAGAAGTTACAGAAAATTATGTTTGGAGAACAGTAAAGTTTTTAACCAGTTAAAGGGATATTTTTAAAATAGTAATAGGGCCAGTCAGTGATGTCGTGGTTGAGCCATGGATTCCTCATGGCTGTGTGGTTGGAGTTCTGGAAGTTGTGACTTGTAAGACACTCTTTATAAGTGTGTGTGTGTGTGTGTGTGTGTGTGTGTGTCTATGTGTGCATGTACGGGCATGCAGGACCCACCACCCCCCACCACCACCACCCCCAAGGTGGTTTTCTCACTTTCTCTATCTTTCAGCGAGCGCTCTATAGCAATTTTTTTTTTTTAAAAGTCAATGATCTATCTAGTCCTAGTGATGTTTAGTGCTGCCAGTGGGACAGCTAGGGCTACTTGGGGGGTCTGGCCTACTCTAAAACACTATGGTGGTTCACACCCATAGCCTCAGCTAACCAGGAGACTGAGGCAGGAGGATCGCAACATACCCAGACAGTTTAGATGCTCGCACAGAAACAAATTGGTTGCAGAGTTTTTCAGAAAGTAACCTACCTGGTTATACCATGAACTTTATTGTTTTGGAATAGTACGTTTTTGTATTATAAACTGGCTATAGTTAGCCCTGAGAGTCATGAAGGGAAATGTGTTTAGAGTTAAGGTGTCTTTGGTGATGTCTTGGATTCAGAGGAGTGAATACCATGGAGTGAATGGATGCCAATGTAGCATTTGTTCTCATTTGTTCTCTTCCAAGGTGGCTGTGGTTTTGGTGTGGCTTTCCATTTTTGCTTGTTTTATTTTCATGAATGGGAGAATCCAGAGATATTCTGCTATGACTTATCTTCTCTGTATGTCTTCTAACCTTTCTCCTTTTTCTTACCAGTCTCCTGGAATTGAGGTGTTTTTTATTTTTTTGGAGAGGTTTTTTGCTATAGGGCGCGTGCGCTCGCCAGATAGAGACAGAGAGACAGAAAGCGAGAAATCACCCCCCAGGGGGGATGGCCACGCCTCAATCCCTTCTCCTCCATTCTCCTCTCGGGATCTTGGGCGCACACACACCAGTTGTGAGTTTAAACCGCCGGGTCCAGGACTCAAACTGCAGTCGACTACGTGGGAGTCCAGCGACAGCCATTACGATAACTGCTGGTCCCTCCTGGAATTGTGTTTGAATAGTCAAGAAAGACCTTGGGATTGGGAGCCATAGGTTCATCAAAGCCTCTACTCTTACAGTGCTTGGCGAGTGGGGTGTTTTAGAATGAGTGTATTTTATACTTTTTGCTTGTTTTTAACTATCACTTTTCTTTTTAAGAGAGATTTTTTTTCCTACAGGGCTCATATACTTGCCACAGAGATAGAGAGACGGAAAACTAGAAATTTCCCCGCAGGGGGGATGACCACGCAGCAGTCCTTTCTCTCTATTCTCCACTGGGGATCCCAAGCACACACGCACACGCGCCCTGCGTGAGTTTTAAGCTGCTGGGTCCAGAATTTGAACTGCATTCGACTATGTGGGAATCTGGTGACACAAACATTATACCATCTGCTGACCCTTAACTGTCACTTTTTAAATTTAATTTTGTCAGATGGAAAATTTTGTAAAATGTACTACTGTACATCTTGCTGCTTCTCTCAAACTCATCTTAATAATGTAGGATTACTCAATTTACAAATGTAAGTGTATAAGAATAAAACTAGGTCCTCTAGGAATTTATGGTCTAGTTACAGAAGGCACTTTTATTTTTGTTCTATTGTAATATGGTAAGACCTTTAGGACCTATTTAGGCAGTCTGTAGATGGTTGAGATTGCTTTTATTATTATTTTTTTTTAGTGAGAGAGAGAGATGTTTTTTACAGGGTCTCCCATTAGCGCTCAGCCTATTTAGGTTGAACGCAAGCCTTCCACGTGACCGCAGGCTTGCACAATAGTGCCCTACCACTTGTACCCTCTTGACTGGGCCTAGGATTGTGTTTTAGAAGGTTTTTCTATTTTCTTTGTTGTCAGTAGTCTTTTCCAGTTTGTTCCTACCCTGTGAAATTAGGTAATTGAACTTGTTAAAATTGTGTATACATTTTTAAAAGGGCTGAGTTGGGGCCTGAAGATCTTAAAAGTACATGGGCTCTGATATCCTTTTTATTTATTTACTGGTTTTCAGTTATGTTCTAGGTCATTGCTTCTCAAAATTTGAAAGTACATTGAAATTACCTGAGGAGCTTATGAAAATGCAGATTCTGATTCAGTGGATTTGGGGCAGGACCTGAGATTCTGTATTTCTGACTAGCTCCTGGGTAATGCTGATTCTGCTGGTTCATGGTCTGTATGTTAATTAGCAAGGTACTGCATACTGTTTGTCTCAAAATGAGTAAGTCAAAGGAATTTATCCCTATATTATGTGATTGTTGTGTCGGTGATTGTTGTGTCATCTGGCATATTCTACTATAATTAGTCTAATTATATTACTTACTGTTCTTTAAATAGTAAACTTCTGAAGGGCAGTGGCTGATAGCAGGTGGCTCAGTAAATATTTGTTGAATGAATGTATGCGTGTATGAATACAGACTTTTGTATAATTGTGTACAATAGCATACCAAGCTGTCATTTTGTATAAATTTCCTGACTCCAGTGTTTTTTTTAGCTGTGTAGCAGTCTGCTGGTACAATGCTTGTTCTTTGTGGAAAGTACAGGTGATCAGAAACTGCCTCAACTCTCAAGCTTTCTGATACTTCAGCCATGTTAGCTAAAGGATGGGTAAAATCCTTGCAAAATGTTTATAGTTAGTCTGAAGTTATTTAAATGTAATTTAAAAAATAAATTATGTTCCTCATAATTAATATACATTATGAAACTCTGGTTTTATGTAAAATCCAACATGTTAAATTGTTATAGTTCAAAGAGTGATAATTACTCTTGTTGATATTGAAAAAACGAACCTTAAATTTGAACATATATTCTTATTTTCTGAAGCTTTCTTCCTGAAATAAGTCCTAAAAATAGTCGTAATTTAAAAACATTCTAGGACCACTAGATGGCTTAATTGTTATGTCCCTGGACTCCCACATAGTCTGCTGCAGTTTGAATCCTGGACCTGGAGGCTTGAAATTCATGCCGGGTGCACGCATGTGCAGGTGTGCCCAAGATCCCGAGATGAGAGTGGCGGAGAAAAATTGTGACATGGCCATGCCTCCAGGGTTTGATTTCTTGTTTTCTGTCTTTCCAGCGAGTACATGCATCATATAGTAAAAATATCTTTTAAAAAAATTAT